CACTTGGTTAAGACACAAGTACAAGGGTTCATCAGGTGAGTCCGGGGCGAGAGGAATTTCGGGTGATACCAAAGCTACAAGTACAGGTGATTAAAAATATCAACAAGCTCATACACGCGCATAAATGTCGCAAATGGCTTTTTTAGTGCCACTCTCGCTAAGAACGGTCCTCTCAACTTCCCTTCCAAAAAAAATTCTCCTTAATTTCTTTCCTATGAAAAGGATTTAAGACACATGTTTAAAAATAGTTTGATGGTTTTCCAATTTTCTTTTGTATGAAGATTCCACCTTTCGAGAACTCTCTGGTAAGGGAATATTAACTAAGGTGTTACAAAAGCAAAAACACAGTCAATTACAGTCATTGTGCGAGTTTTTTTGACGTTGAAATTGTAGTTAAGCATCGTATTATGAACCTCTTCAATAGTAAGCAAATTCCTGTGATTGCCGTAGGTGATGATTGATCAACAAACCCGCGTTACTCAAAACTCAGTTAAGGTTGCGTGACTTCTCGACTTGGTCCAGTCCTCTTACTGTCACGTTCAATATGGTGGGTCAGTCGATACAATAACAATCTCATCTCGAGGTGTTGCATGACATGTTTCAACTGAACTGCAACAAAAATTATTTGTTATCCAGCTCTCCTAACTGTGGATTTCTTATTTACAGCCGGATGATTTGATTTATTCAGCTCTAACGTACTAGGGAAATCGGATGGATCACAAGTCACCTGGACGCTACTCACTACAACTTGTATGTATCATCCTGCTCTTTTACTGATGCCATCATGCGTATTTACACGCCATCATGCATATATAGAACGGCTCTCAAAAGTCTAAGCATAGGATCTTCTGTTAACAGTCGATTTCGTCAAGCTCATTTCATGTTGCATCAAAAAATGGGCCTGACAAGATATAGAGACTTTGCACGCTTGCGAGAATAGTATCTAGGGAGATATGATACGAAAATTATAAATCAGAGGAAATTCAAGCATCTTTAAAAAATACTGTCATATCTAGGTCAGAACATCATCATTTGTGCTCTATGATGGATACTAGGTTTTCAAGGGAAAATATTACCTTTATTTTGCTAAACCGCTGGGTGCTTGCAGTGCTAATCAGAGGCCTTCTTAGAGTAATTATAAGCTATGAGTCGAGGTATTTCTAGATAATGACATTGATTTGACTTTAAAGTTTTACTTTCAGTCACCAAATACAAGATAAAAGCTTTATGTCAAGACTTTGGTGTGTTAATAGCATGAATTATGCTCAAAATTCCATTTTGCTTGGTCTTAGAGGGGCATGGAGAGTTTGTGCCAAAAACTTAACAAACCTCAATAAGCCAAATTTTTCTCACCTGATTTTGATAAATGGGTCACTAAAGTACACACTGGATTTAATATGAAAGGTATGCAAGAAGCAGGTGAATGTTATAGTTTTTTGAAAAATGGCAATTTTGGGTAGTGATTTTGACCTCAAATTTGACCTAACTTTAGTCCCAGGCCCCTCTCTGTGTAATCGCTTGAGAACAAAGTTACGTTTAGGACGTAAAAGCTTCACCATAGTAGAGTACATGGTCAAATTCATTTGGCAGCACAATTTACCAATCGAGTTTTACAGCACTTTCAAAATGCCACCTAGAAGGATGAATTTTTGGTGCTCCATAGACCATAAATGGGACCCCCCTGAAACTCCAGAACAAACCGTCAGAAAAGCAAGCCAAAGTGGCTTTTGAAATATCTGATCATACTCAACGTTTGTGCCAAGTTTAAGCTAAATCAGTTGACCACTACTTTTGGCTCCTGGAACACTTTCTCAAACAGAAACACTTAGGACGATTTCTGGCAACATTCCGATCATATTTTACCTTAATTTGGATGATACATGCGGTAATTATTAACTCCTACTGATATGTAATAGAAAACGTCCTGTTATTGGACAAAATAACTCAACTGTTCTAATTTTACGCCCGATTTTTGGATATTGAGGGCGATCCGGTCTTTTGTCAGCTGTCAGTAAACGCCCACCACAAATGTCAGTTGTCAGTTAGATATTCAGTGATTTGTCAGTTGTCAGTTAAAATTTTGGCCATTTGTCAGTTCAGTTAACCCCATCCAGACCGTTTTATAACCAAGTTTGTCGGATTTAATTCATGAACTTCTTGTGATGGTCAGGTCAGATTTGTTTTCGACAAGACCCTTCATCGTAATTTAAAAGGCAAGTTTGCTAAAAGTTTTAGAAAATGTGATTCGAATAAAAAGCATCATCATACCTTTCCATAGCGGTGACTCTTGCATCTGGGAGAAAAATCGATTAAGCGACATAGTTCTTATTTTATTGTTGTAAATACGCTTGCAAGATGAGAGAGAACGAGAAAAGGATGTAAACCACGAGCTAAAGGCGACTGCTGAGCTTTTAATGAACCACTATCTATTTTGCAACAGTCATTTTCGTCATCCACTTCGAAATTATCGTGGAATCAATAATACAAAGTTTTAGGTACTACCCTTTGTATGACGTGCGTGCGTTCTTTAAGGTTCAGGTTTTCGTCCTCCTCCGAGAAAACTAGAATGACTAACCATTTCCAGACGTCATAACAAAGGCAGCACATTCTTATCAGTTATTTTAAGACCCAGAGAGTTGGTCCGGTATGAGGTTTGGACCTTCGACTTCCACACGGTAGTCTGGCGCTTTACAACATGAACAATCTAGTAAAAAGGTCTAACAGACGTTTCCCGGAATTCAATTAACACTTGAAATACTTGAACCATTAGTATTTACTTACTATCTTCGAAAGTTGTAATACTGAATATTTCAGAAGCATTTCCTGGTTCCGAGGTACTACCCCTGACTTTCACATAGTAGGTGGTATATTTGTGCAAGCCATCTATCGTATGTTCCCGTGTGCTTCCAGTTACTTCTCGCTCACTTTTCTTTCCATCCTTTTTTGTTCCATAAAATATTATATAACTTTTTATTTCTCCGTTAGGGTGAGCTGGTGCATCCCACTTTACAAAAATTGCAACGGAAGAAACGGCTTGAACTTGAACATTGAGTGGTTGGCTTGGACCTATCCAAAAAATTAACAGCACAGGATTTGTAGACGTCTGAGTGGTCCCATCATAACAAAGTACAGTTTGAAGGGCCTCAAATTATTCACAGCTCTCTCTCTCTCTTCAAGGGCGTAGCATAGGGTAGGAGCGGGGTGGGGGAGAGGGTGCTGGGGTAACATACCAAAAAAACATCTGCAGAGTTTTGGCCATTTCTATTTAGAGACTTCCCTGTGCCTATAAAACTACTATTCTGCGCCTCAAGAAAAACTTTGTTTTGAAAAGCAGGAAAAAACGTTTTCTTCAGAAGTTGAATGTTGTTGAATGTTGTTGAATGTTGTTGAATGTTGTTTCTTGACTGATTTACGTCTCATTCAACTGTTTAGTTCTTTTACCGTCGATGTCGTTGTGTTTGTATTGCTAATTAACAACCTCCTTAATTTAAGCATGATGATGAATCAAAGTTAATTTAAAGGTGACATACCTTTATCCAGTGTCCTGACATCAAAGCGGGGGCTGAATGGTGACCCCCCAGCTCTTGTAAACCCTCGAACTTGGATGCAGTATTCCGTATATGGTTTCAAGCGCCTAATTATGGTGCCTGTCGATGTTGTGTTCAACCTGAAACTGTTTTGTTGGCCTTTTTCTTTGTATAAAACCTCATAACCCAATATCAAGCCGTTTTGATCCTCCTTTGCAATTTCATTCCACTTGACCCTTATGGTGTGCGCATCCTCGGCTTTTGTTTCCTTGCTATGAATGACTGGAGCAGAGCTGGGAGCTTTAATT